GTTAACGCCCGTCCCCTCAAGAGAATGAAGAGACGTGTTACTGCTGATCTCTTCGACTTCCTCTCTTTCCCTTCCTCCTCCATGTCCACCTCCGCCACCGATCATGATTCCGACCACGACCACCTCTTCACCGGCCCCTTCCGGACCAACGTCCACACCTTCCTCACCAACCACGCCCTCCCTCCTCCACCTTCTTCTCTATTCCCTCACCTCCTCACCTGGCAGATCCTCTTCCGCGTCGGCGACCTCGTCGACGGCCCCGATTCTCAACCCGCCGTTGTTTATCTCGATATTGTCGAGGAGGACGTCGCCAGATCCAGATCCGTCTACTGCGATCAGTGCCGTGTTGTTGGTGAGTCCCCTTCCACTCCTCGTCTCTCTTCTTTTTTTCGCCTCCTCCGCTTTGTTTCTCGTCTCCCGCCGGTGACCTTTTCAATATCTCGCGATAATTACGAGATTTTGAGATGGGGGTAGAACTCATTTCCTTTTCATGTGCGGGTCTTGATTTGATGGTGTTCAAACAACCCTTCGATGCGTTACACGTGGCGGGTAGAGAAAATTGGATATTATGTCAATGTCCGAGTCATGAGTGACAGCTATTTCGGAACTTTGGGAGTACGTTGTCGTAGTGGGTGATGAATGACTATGATCATCATCTTCTTTTTCTTTTTTCTTTTTAATTTCTTGTTATTGATTTATTTACTGTGTGGTCTAAGTCTAGTGATGGAGTAGATAAGTTCGATTCTTCATGTAAAGTGGGTGGGCGGAGGAATCTTTTTTCTTTAGCAGAGAGAAGATAGGAGTAGATGTGGGGTCATTTTCATGGAAATTGAGGCTTGTTTGTTTGTGGATACAGCGCCCCACATCTCGGAAAATGTGACAAAATATATAGTTGCGTGTTCCTCTTTTCCTTCTGTATACAAAATTATTTCATTCAACTCTCCTCTGGCCCCATTTCGTTTACTGTTTTTAAGTTTGGAACAGTTTGAGTTTAATACATTTTAGTTGTAAGGATTTGGGTTGTGATACCCTTGTGATTACTTTTCGAGAACGCCCAAGAGTGTGTTTTGTTTGATGTTTGATGTATGATGTTTGATGTGAATTGTTTGTTGTTTGTAACTGTATGCCAATGATTAGGGTGGAGTGCACATCCTGTGTGTGCCAAACGATACCATTTCATAATAAAAGCTAATGGAAGCTCCATTGGAGGATATCATAAGCCATGTATGTGCTGTGGAGACGTCTTGCATCTCTCCGAGTCCAAGTGAGCTCATTAACCACACTCCTTTCCCTGGTTTATGGTTATTCTGGACTGATCAATCCAGATTTTCTATCAATTGTTACCTTCGTTCTTCCTTTTATCTCAATGGGTTTTGAGTGGTTATCATGATTTTGAGACTAGAATTGATCTTAGATATGGACAAATCATCGCCTATAAGTGAGCTTAGATATGATTTCTGCTGGATAATCTACAAAATCCTTTGCCTTCATTATGTAATGTAGAAAATGAACTCTAATCTGTTAGTCATATTAATGTGTGCAAAAGTCGATTGATATTTCTGGGATCAGATCACTGCTCTACTAATTTATCTTTCCTTTCCATTAAGATAGTATTACAGAATAAATACTGCCCAACATTCATTTGCTTCTGTTTGCATTCAGTTCCTGTTTATTTTGTGTTGCGTAGAAATAGAATTGTTATAGTTGAATGATGGCCAATAGCCATACAACCAGCTTTTTCCCGAGCATTATTTCTGCTTTTGTTTTTTTCTCACGATTTTGAAGAGTTTTTGGTTATATTGGGTTTCTAGATGCAAGTCGTGCAATCATGTAACAAGCACAGATGATGTTGAAGACTGGGTGTACCAGCAGTTAGAGAACAATACTCATCTTTTACATGCTGTGGTTCACTCAAATGGTTATGGACACCTTCTCAGAGTCAATGGAAGAGAGGGTGGTTCAAGGCACTTATCAGGATGCCATATCATGGATTTTTGGGATCGATTTTGTAAAATGCTTGGAGTGAGGTAAGGCATCACTTTCACTATAGTGAATCCTTTTCAAAATTTGTTTAGTTTTTGAGTCAGTTCTCAAATTTACTCGTCAGTGTCTTGCTTTTGTTGATCTCTGGATGCTCATGTTTGCTAACATTTAAGCTGTATATGGAAAAGCATTCTGAATTTAACATTTAGGCTGGTGGAGATCTGACTCGAAATGATTTATTATGTTTGAAACCTATGTAATTAACAAATTATGCATGATGGATGAACCAAACTGCTCGAAAGAGACCTTAAGTTCTACAGTTTTTTTCTTTGGGGAGGATATGTCAACACCCTTTCCTTTTTCAGTGCTGAAAAGGTGAAAGTGGCATATTCTTCCTGATGAGTTTAGTTGATTTATTTGTGTTATGGGTACATGGAATGAGTGAATTTTCTTTTTATTGTCTTTGAGCAGAAAGGTAAGTGTGATGGATGTGTCTAAGAAGTATGGGCTCGAGTACCGGATGCTTCATGCCATCACCAAGGGCCATCCATGGTATGGCGAGTGGGGTTATGAATTTGGTGCTGGTAGTTTTGGAGTGACTCTTGATGCCTACAAAATGGCTGTTGAAACCCTCTCCAGCCTTCCTCTCTCAATCGTTACATCACAAGGACGGAAGCCTCGTTCTCAACTTCAGGACATAATTTCATATTATCAGTCTTTGTCAGAGCGTAAGCTTGTTAATGTGAGAGATCTCTTCAGATTTCTGATGAGCTTGATTCATAACATTCGCAAGTCATCGTCAACCATTAATGATGTAACGGATGAAAAGCAGCAGTCGAGGGTCTTGTGCTCGTGGACTAGAAGTGATGTTACTCGTGTTGAGGAAGCAATGTTGAAAGTGCTGCATGCAGTATCTGGATCAAATTGGGTAAGTTGGCGCACCCTTAGAGGTGCTGTGTGCAAAGCAGGTCCCCCTGAACTTCTTGATTATTGCCTTAAGAATCTTGGGGGTAAAGTATCATCTGATGGGATGGTTGTTAATTCTCATCGCAATCCTCAATCAGGTGCTTTTGAATACAGGTAAATGAAATGCACTTTCGTTTATGATTTTTTCCATGTTGTTACAAGTGTACGTTGTTGGAAGGCTCTGTCCATAGTGTGTGTGGTCTCTCAAGGGGTATCTTTGTTATGCAGGCTCGAACCGGGCAATGTTTCATCGAATACAGCCACTGATTGCACCGTGTCCTCCCTCTCTAGCTTCCCATCTGAAGAAAATCTTCTGTTGGACTTAAGGTTTTTGTACGATGCCATGCTTCATCCACACTCTATGGTAAACTATGGGCCCCAGGCAACAAGGGATGCAGCGGTGAGCTCAGCCGTGAAGCTGATAGACTGCAAGCAGTTTGTAAAAGATTATAAACCTGAGAAGCTACTGACCAAGTTGAATCCTTTTTCGATATGCCTCTCATGTGAGGTTGAAGTTGTGGAAGACTCGAAAGACAATTCCTCAAGACCTCCACCGGAACTAGTTGTACTTCCATCTAATGCAACCATGTCTGACCTGAAGCTTGAAGCATCAAAAGCTTTCCAAGATGTATACTTGATGTTCAAAAGATTTCAAGTAGAAGAGATAGTCGACCATGGCGGTGTAGATGATTCCACCCAGGTCAAGCTATTATTCGGACAAACCGAATCAGTACGTGTGAGAGGAAGATGTCAAGGGAAAATGGCGCTGAACAGGTTCCGAATGGAGAGGGGATTGGAAAGGTGGACTGTGGACTGCAGTTGCGGAGCCAAGGACGACGATGGGGAGAGAATGCTAGCTTGTGACTTGTGCAACATTTGGTGGCATACGAGATGCTCAGGGATTCAAGACTCGGACAATGTCCCAGGGAAATTTGTATGTTATAAATGCAGAAGCTCGATTGTTGCGATGAATACGAATGGAGAAATGGAGACGGATACTCTATCTAGACTAGGGTATGTTAATTGAGATTTTTAATTTGTATATAGTTTTGGTTTTGGGTTTGGATTTTTGTTGGGGAGGAGGGTAAGGGAGAGAAGGATGAAAAGTTGATTGATTTGTTGTTAGGGGGGGTAGTGAATGTGTAGATGTGGTGAGAAGTTGGGCCAAAATCAGTGATTAGATTTGTTTCCTGGTTTTGTTATTCTTGTGTATATGTTGAACTGATAGGCGAAACTTGGGATTTATATGACACCCACGGAAGGAGAAAAAAAACAAAACAAAACAAAACAAACAAATGAGGAGACAAAAAAATCAATATCTGGTGAGGGTGTTCATGTTTGATCATAAATGTGTCCATTGAGTTGATATAGGACGCTTCTTGAACCCGCTACAATTGTCATTGAAATTGGTTCAAGTGGCAAGAGTGTCTTGTCGAGTTTGACTCCAAATTTGTTATACTCTTATCAAAAGAGTGAACATGAACATGTGATCTTGTATATAAGGCTATCCAATGAACCACAAAATTTAACAAGGCTATCATTGAATCATTGATGTACCATTTAAAGAACACAAGTCAAGAACACAAGTCAGATTTGAATTTGAATGTACAAGAGTTTTAAGCAGAGAACAATCTAATTGGAAGATTAACGTGATATATTGTGGAGAAAACAATAGGAGGTTAGAAAATAGTGGGGTTCTTGTAGAAATCTTATGGACATAATTATTTAAACTATTAGTCTCCAACCTAAATATTTCTTCTACCTACCATTCCAAATTGATAACTCACATAATGAATTAAAAATATACTTGAAGAATGCATCACTCCAAGAATGCTTTACATGACATGATATACTTTCAACTACCCAACATAAAAAATTCCTTCCAAAATTTTTGTAAAAGATATAGTCACTTATAACATATACTTTCAAGTAAGAAACTTATTGTAATTCATATGAATAATGATGTTATTATTGTTGAAAGTTGGATTGAAGAAAAAAAAAAAAACAAACAAACAAACAAAGAAATTTAGTCACTCCGTGAATATTTAGGTTATACGAGTCTACTGCATTTAAATACTGTTAAAGCTAACCACCGGGAACGCCCGACCTTCATCGTCAACTGAAGTGCCACTCACCAGTTTCTTCCTCCCATGACTTCCAGGTTCTCTAACTCATCGCCTTTCTTCCTCTCTTCTCATCATGTTTCAAATCTCTTCTCATTCCGCCCTTTCCTTTTCATTTTTAAATCTCAGGCGATTGAGAGCTTTCAAGCGATGGATGGCATCCCAAGGCATTCAATACACCGACGCTCTCGAATTCACGGATAGCTGCGGCGATGGAATTGCCGTCGAAGCCTTGTGCGATTTGCAGGAAGGGGATGTTGTTGCAACCATTCCTAAACTTGCTTGCCTCACCGTCAAGACCAGCAGTGCCTGTCCGATCATAGAAGAAGCCGGTTTGGGTGGCTATTTGGGGCTTTCGGTCGCTCTTATGTATGAGAGAAGTTTAGGGGAGAACTCTAATTGGGCTGGCTATCTCCAGCTTCTGCCCAACAAAGAGTTATTACCCTTGCTCTGGTCTCTGGAAGATGTGGACCAGTTTCTTTGTGGAACTGAGCTACACAAGGTACGTCCAGTTCTTTTTTCTCGGCTTCTATTTTAATCTCTGCTCTGTTAGGGAGTTTATTTATGGAATTATGTGCGAATATAGAATTAGTTTAAAGGTTCTGATGGATTCTTTGGCAGCTATTGTACATCTATCTCATTCACGAGGATGATTATATTATGACACTTCTCTTTAGTCTTGGAATGTATATGATCCATCGACTTTGTAGTTAGCTCAGAAATGTGGTGCCAAGAATTGCTGGGGCCTCAAATCTACCTCTGGGCTTCCCATTGATAATAATCGGGTTGTTTACACTCTATAGTGCTTTGGACGTACAAGAATTAAGAAACTAGAGATCTTGGTCATAATTAAGTTCTTGGATTGGTTGGACAAGGAGGGTACTTTGAGGTCGGGGAGGAGGAATATATCATGGTGAAAGTAGGACTATAAGGAGCTGGTTTGGGGGTAGTAAAACTTGTTGGAAACCGAAAGCTAAGGACTGTAAGTGTGTCAGCAGCATTACGATACTTCCCATTTTCAAAAAATTGTGAGGCAATTAAGAGACTTGTCATTCCGGGTTGCACTTTGTGTTTTGAAAACACTGCTGTGAACCAGAACCTTTGGCATACAAAATGTTTATCCAGGACGCTTAAGTTAACTCTGTCGTAGGCCTTCGTGATTTCGAGCTTAACAGCACCACATCTTTCTTCTTACACCTCCACTCTCATTGTTAATTTCCACTGAACTAGGGAGATATTCTCATTCTGACTCGAGAAGATTTCAACAATCAAGTTCTTGCTTCTTAGGGCTAAGAGTGTTGGGAGTGAGTCCCACATTAGCTAATATAGGATATAGGGAATGATCATGTGTTTATAAGTAAGAAATACATCTTCATTGGTATGAGGCCTTTTGGGGAAATCCAAAGCAAAGCCATGAGAGCTTATGCTCAAAGTGGACAAGATCATATCATTGTGGAGGGTTGTGATTCCTAACAAAGAGAAGGTGATGAAAGGAGCTGTCGGTATTTTATTTAAACATGTATTTTTGACCCAGAAGAGTATGTTCCTATGTGTTCAAGAACTGAAGAGGGATAGGGCTATCCTTCCTAGGAGATCTATCAGCTGGAGAGAGAGGGATGTATGTGTCAAGATTCAGAAGTCCCAATAGTTTTTATTTACGTTATGTTCTGTATATACAAAAATCTGTAAAAAAAATTCTATTCATAATGGTCTTTCAATTAGTGAAAGAAAATACTTGAGGTCATATGGTTTTGTGTTTACTTCCTGCCTTCAAGTAGGTTCACCATTTTGTTATTTCTACTTATGATAAAGCGATGATGCAGTGACTTTTAAGTGTAATCTATGTAGATGATTTTTCTTACACTTTTAGGCAGACGGTGAAAGAAGACAAGACCCTTATGTTTGAGGACTGGAAAGAGAATATCGTGCCTCTTATGATGTCTGCACCTTTGATGTTCAGTCCAGAATTTTTTGGCGTTGAACAATATTTTTCTGTGAGGAGCCTCATTTCTTCTAGATCTTTCGAGATTGATGACTTTCATGGGTTTGGGATGGTCCCTTTGGCAGATCTGTAAGTTAATCCTTCTTCTAAATTGTTATCAATATATATACTTACCATTTTCAATTCTATGCATTATATATGGCCTCTAGAGTGCGGGAGAGGTACTAAGCTTATCGAAAGTCTGGCCAAATGGTAACTATTTTTTCTAAACTAAATAGTAGCAAATAGAGTTGCTTTGAGTCCTGTCAAGGACTTGTTTCTCAAAAGGATCCACCTAAAAGTGGTGGAGGAGCTTTGAGTCCTATCAAGGACTTGTTTTTTCATCTCATTTTTCTTGTCACGTGTCTTTGTCTCGTCTCGAATTAGGTATTGGAGATGCTTAGGATTTAGGCACCTGATATGAATTATTTATACCTGTTGAATTATTGATCCTTAAACTTACGTATTATGTGTTTTTCACTTTACTTTGAATATTTTGTTTGTCTTAACTTTTATAATATTATATTTTGATCTTCTGGTTAATTTTTCATATATATATATATATATATATATATATATTTACAAAATCTTTAGTCTGCCAGTGTCCAATTTAACTATGGTGTAAAAGTTAAGAATTTTTTGGGAACATCCATGATCAAAAGAAAATATTTGAAGGTAAAACTTCTTGAATTTGGTATGGTGGGTTAATTTTTACCTCCAACTTTTAATTTAATCAAATTGGACTTTAAATTTAAGTTTCATGATGCTCACCTTATGTTAGGTTTTTGTTTGAAGAATCAGTAAAAAGAAAAATATTGTGACATGTGTTCAATGGACTACATGATCAAAGGTCTCTATGAAATTGTTTTGAAGAAGGATGAAATTTTGGTTAGATTTTTTTTTATTTATTTAGTTTTATTATTATTATTTTGAAATTGGTGAGTGTTGGTAGATTCATTGAGGACTAGAACTTGAAATTTTATCGTATTTATAAATATAAAATCTATATTAGAATAAGTATGATGCTCAAGGAATAAAATGGAATTTGAACTTGAATAATCATCATGATTCAGTTTGAATTAAGAACTCGGTGTTTATCATCTCTCATTCAATTCATTGAAACCTAGGTTTAACCACAAGACGAACGCTGAGGATGTACACTTTACCTTGGTGTCTTCTGATGTCGAGGACCTAAACGATGTACATCCATATGACGAGGAGTCCAAATGCTGGAATTCTCCTCCGGACAAAGAAGAACCAGATTCTCTTCTAACTGAGCTAAACAATGCATATGATACTGACTCAAACTCTTCGGAACTCGGAGGTGATCCCACCACGCTTGAGATGATCATGGTGAAGAATGTCAAAGCTGGCAATGAGGTTAGTTTTTCGTTTCGTTAAATGAGAGATATTTCCCTTCACTCGGAACCAAATCTTGTCGACCTCTTTAGTTGCCATGTAAATGTTCAGTTGAAGGGGTTTGGAATAACTTTTTCGTTTCTTCTGCTGGACATTAGGTGTTCAATACATATGGTTTGCTGGGTAACGCTGCTTTGCTACACAGATACGGATTTACGGAAGCAAATAATCCCTACGATATCGTTAACATTGATTTGAATCTGGTTATTGATTGGAGTTCATCTCGATTTTCGAGGCGATACAGTAGAGCAAGAGTATCACTATGGAGAAAGTTGGAGTACCGTGGTTGTGGCAATGAAGACACTGAATATTTTGAGATATCATACGATGGGGAACCACAAACTGAACTACTGATATTAATTTACATAATGTTGCTACCAGAGGTTGCATTTAATCACCTTGATATGACTACATCATTATCAGGGAATTATAGTGGCGTTATGCTGTATCAAAAAGGAAACACCATCTGGGTTGAAGATTCAAAACTTACCCGGGATGTATTGTTGACTAAAGATGTTCGTAGAGCTCTCGTGTCGCTTGCAGATATGCGGGAAAGCTTATACGGTTCAAGATGTTTAGAAAAAGACGTGGAGATGGTATGTGGCGTACAAGATAGGAAGTTATATCATTCTTGGATGCTATGTGAGAGCGAGAGGATGATTCTGAAGAAACTCAGAGCTTATGCCGCTGTGGCTGGTCAGTCGTCGAGAACTGGAAGGCCATCGTCTCTGAGGAAGCACAGATGAACAAGTAATTTCATAATTTATGAGCTCATTCATCTTCAAATTTCACTCTCGATTATTTTTGTTGCTTCACTTGAATCATCTTCAAATTTCTTCTTGTTTCTCCATCTCTACTCCTAACATTTGTTATTTTGAGGAGTTTGTCACCAAGGGATACTTTAGAAGAGTTCATTGTTTCAAATATTGCACTTCTCAGGTAGTCTTCAAAAGTAAAATATAAGAAGATTGATAAGTGACAACAAAATGAAAGGAAAGATTAAAAAAAAGAATCTATCCTTTCGGTGATCTCGACATTTCTAGCATGATAGAACAACTACTAGACACATGGCTGATCAAACTTCTTTGAGTGTAAGTAGGTAGAAGAGATGGAACGTTGTGTATTATAAGTATGATCAAGTTATATACATATATGTTCACATAAATTTAAGTGTAATAGTTTCAAAAATTAAACCTACAAAAATTTTAGCTATTAGCCTAAATTAATAAAAATATTTCTAAATTTTTTATTTTATTTTAAAAATATCTAAACTTGGCCAGTTCCAAGAATCTTTAAAAAAAAAATTAGAAATACCCTTACCATTGTTTTTTAAGATAAAAATACATATACTTAAAACTTTAATTTTTTTTTATTAACATTTAATTTTTTTTTAAAAGTTTAAAAATAAACTTAGTACAAAATACCCTTTTATTACTATTTAATTTTTTTTTAAAAAGTTTTGAAATAAACTTAATACAAAATACTTAACATTTCGGTATTTTAAAGATTTTTTTTATAAAAAAAATATTAAAAAGGAGTCTTTGAAGATTTTAAAAACAGTAGGTATTTTTTAAAATTAAAAAAAAAAGTTTTAACTAAAATTTTGAAATATTTTTTAAACATTTGGAAAAGTTTTTTTAATTTTTAATTTTTCTTTTTTTTTTTTGAAAGTTTTAGAGTATTTTTCAACAAAGTTATTAACTGTTTTTGTTTTTATCTCAAATTAAAATTAATTCTAGGAATGTTTTTTTTAATTTTTTTGAAACTGTAAAGATATTATTATTTTTTTTTTTAAAGTTAAAAGTATTATTGAAATTGGTGAAAATTGAGATTTAGAAAGATGGTTTTCTTTTTTTTACTAATTTAATATTTATATTAATTATATATATATATATATATAATATTTCCATTAGGCAAAGATAGAAAGAAGGTATGATCGTCGGCATTAGGAAATTGCCTTCAATACTTGGAGCTGCTCCATTGCAAAGCCATCGACGTTTGCCAACGAAATTGAGGATGGGCCAACATAATGCAGAACATAACGCTTCGAAATCCAATCATCAATCGCGCGTCGATAAGTTTTCGAAAGTTATCCGCGACGACCACACTGGTAATGGTGAATTTCAACTCATTTCCTATTCTACTTGTACCTGTTCAGTCATGTTTTGGCCCTGAAGATTCATCTATGTGATATACTGCCGTTTGTGGGATGAATAATGTAACTCAGGGACAAGCACATAATTTGAATCGGATTTTTTTCGGTTTCATTTCAGGAATTTTCGTTGATTGGTTTTGGAATTGGATGAAACGATTGATAATATTTGCTTGACTTTAGAACTCTTTTGAATAGCTTAAGCAGTCAATAATTGTTATAGAATTGTTCGACTTTAGAACTCTTCAAACCAAACATCTTTTGGAAGCTCAACCCAAAGCAAAGAAACAACATTGATTGATCTTCAACCAAACCAGCTCTTCAAACCAAACACCTTTTCAAAGCTCAACCTAAAACATAGAAACAACATTAATTGAAATCTTCAACCACCCCCAACTCTTCGTGCAAAGCGTCAGGGTCGTACATTTTCAACCTTGCAGTTTCGTGATCTTGACACGCTCACGACTAACCTAGAGAGGAACCCAACCCTATATACATTTTTCGCTTGCCTTTATGGCTTGGTTGGACCTTAGGAGAGGTTTTTCTTCACCAACTAAATATAACTTGTGTGGAATTCAAGCTTGTTCAGCCACACATGCTGCCGTGTGACACAATCGCGCTTTCGAAGGCAGCGGACTAGCGATTGTGCGGCACTCACTTTCCAACGACAAGTGAGTTGAGCCTATTTGTTCTTGCGTCGCCTACGGCCAAGCGACGTACGGTCAAGCCTCTAGCCTCGGTTTTAAAAGAAGGTTTTAGAAAACGAGGAGAGAGAGATTTGAGAAAGAGAGATTTTAGAAGGAGACGTTATATAAGCAAGCAAGAGAAAGATAACAACGGCTTAGCATATATAACCTTGGGTAGGGAGAAGTTGACGACTAGTCATATCCCCCTATAGTACATTCTGGGCCATTTTAGTTCTGGCAGGCGTAGACATGATATTTTTGAGGTGTCATACGCTTTAGAATTACAAAGGGAAAAACACTAGAATGAAAAGACAAGAACAAGGGTTTGGCTTGTCATGGGCATGCGGCCATGGGCACATGCCCTGGACAAGCATGACCGTGACATCCTCCCCCACCTAATTGGTTGACGTCCCTGTCAACCGACTACTTTCATACCTTGCGATGTGGGTGGCGGCGGAGTTCAGATCTTCGGCGCGTTCCCAGCTTGTTTCCTCTGTAGGGAGATTCTTCCATTTGACAAGGAATTCACGAATCGTCCGTACAGGTCTTCCTATCTTCCTAACCCTGTCAGCTAGGATCTCTTCCACTTCCTTTGTTTCTTTTTGCTTCAGATCGATGTTCGGTCTTGTGGTTGCATTTCGTTGGTCGTCGTCTGGATCAGGGTGATAGGGCTTCAAGTTGCTCACATGAATGACGGGGTGGATTTTCATCCATGCGGGTAGTGCAACTCGGTAGGAGGTAGCCCCGATCTTTTTAAGGACTTCAACCGGGCCTTCATATTTACGAACTAGTCTCTGGTCCTTTCGGCTACGAAATCTGATTTGTTCTGGTCTCAGCTTGATAAGGACTTGATCTCCTGCACGAAAATGAAGGGGGCGACGCTTCTTGTCCGCCCATTTCTTCATATGCTTGGAAGCCTTCTCTAAATATGCCCGGGCTATATCTGTTGTCTGCTTCCATTCCCTTGTAAAGTTGTGAGCTTGAGGGTTTTTTCCTGCATAAGGATGATCAATAATATGGGGTAAGGCCGGTTGTCGTCCACTTACAATTTCGAAGGGACTCTTCCCTGTAGATGAGCTGGTTTGGCAATTGAAGCAAAATTGGGCGACATCTAACAATTGTATCCAGTTCTTTTGGCGAGCGTCGACGAAGTGACGTAAGTATTCTTCGAGCAAGCAATTGAACCGTTCTGTCTGCCCATCGGTTTGAGGGTGATAACTCGAGGAGATGTTCAAGGTTGTTCCCAAGAAAGCGAATAACTCAGTCCAGAACGTCCCAATGAATCTGCCATCCCTATCACTGATGATGCTCGACGGAATGCCCCATAACTTTACAACGTGTTTGAAAAACAGTTGGGCTGTGAGTTCCGCCGAGCATAATTTGGGAGTGGGGATGAATGTCGCATATTTGGAGAATCGGTCTACAATAACCAAGATGGCGTCATATTCCCCGACCTTTGGGAGGTGCGTTATGAAGTCCAGAGATACACTTTCCCAGGGTCTTGTTGGCACAGGTAGAGGTTCCAAGAGTCCAGAGACTTTGGCTTTCTCGACCTTATCCTGTTGGCAGATGAGGCACGTCTTGGTGTATTGCATGATGTCGTCTCGCATGTTTGGCCAGAAGTACCCCTTCTTTATTAGGGCGTAGGTTCTTTGCCACCCAGGATGTCCGGCCCACAAGGTATCATGACATTCCTGAATGAGTTTCTTCCTCAGTTCCCCCGTTCTTGGGACGTACAATCTGTTTCCTTTGGTTATCAGGAGGTCCCCCTCAACCCAAAACTGCCGTGTCTTTCCAGCCTTAGCTAGTTCGACAACAGCTTTGGCCGATGGGTCTTTGTGTAAATGTTCCTTGATGATGTCGCGCATCGATCCATCGATCTTACTTGAGTGAATGTGGGCTAACATGCACAGGGCCGCATGTTCGCCCTTCCGACTCAGCGCGTCGGTTGCTTGATTACTCTTCCCTGCTTTGTGTTCGAACTTGAAGTCGAATTCGGCCAACGACTCCTGCCACCGGGCTTGTTTTGCTGTTAATTTTGGTTGATCAAAGAAGTGGCAAGTGGCGCTGTTATCCGTCTTCNTCGTGGTCAATGCCTCGACGAGGTGGTAGTGTTTGTGGTAGACTCTCTGGCATGATGTCGGTATAGCAGTCTAGTACTTCCTTGATTTCCTCTGGGACAGTCTCTTCGGTGGTTACTTCTTCTATCAGTGGTATGGCCATAAATGTAGGTTCCTCTCGAGCGAGTCCCCTTTTCAGTTGTATGGCCGAGATCATTCGAAGATTACCTGGTTGCTTAATGCTTGCAGGTATTACTGTGGGATTACGGTCGGTGATCACCAAGCATTTTGCCAATGGCATTGGGATGACCTTGTGTTCTAGGAGGAACTCCATCCCAAGTACCACGTCGAAGTCATCCATGCGAACCACGACAAGGTCTAGCTCTCCAGTCCAATCCCCTATTTTGAAGGGGACTCTCTTGGAAACTCCCACAATAGGCAAGGCCTCGGAATTGACAGCTTTCATTTTCCCCGGGTCTTTTCCTATGGTGAGTCCCAATCTTCTGGCTTCTTGATCGGCAATGAAGTTGTGGGTTGCTCCAGAGTCTATCAAAGTGCTCTTGCTCGGTTGAGAGTTTATTGTGGCATCTACGAACATGAGCCCTTTCTCTAGTACCTCCTTCGGTTCGACTTTCCGTTGGAGGGCTGACAAGAATTTGAGTGCGCCCATTCGGGGGTTGTCGTGATCTTTCTTCTTGTCTAGCAAAGTCTCGACCCTTGCTTCATTGCTCTCTTGAATGGACACTTGAAGTGCAGTGAGAGAGGCCCGATGAGGACAGTATGATACTTTGTGGGGGCCTTTACACAGCATGCATTGCAAAGGTGTCGTCGGGTGGTTCTTTTGATGATAATGCCCTCGAGAAGTCCCCGCTTGATTGTTCTGAGGAGGTCTATCCGTCCATCCATTCGGTCTGTTGGGACTTCCATTTCGCTGGCCTGGTGGTCTGTATGGTTTGCCCCCATTGTTTGGGGCTGGTGTCGCTCTTCTTTGTGATCCTGCTTCGTTCCCACAGTCTACGAGTCTCTCGGCACAGGCCATTGCGGCAGCTAGGGTTTGGACCCTGTTCTCATGTATCTTTGTTTTGGCCCACGGCTGTAGACCATTTATAAAGAAGAACACCTTGTCCTTCTCTGCTGTGCCCCTGATATCTAGCATCAGGGTTGAGAACTGTCTGACGTAGTCCCGTATGTTTCCAGTGTGTTTCAGGGCTACTATTTTCTCCATTGCTATATGCCCTGCGTTTTCGGGGAGGAATTGTTCCCTCAACTCTCTCTTGAGGTCCTCCCATGAGTCGATGGTGCACAATCCATCCTCGATGTCTTGCACCTTCGTACGCCACCACAGTTTGGCGTCGTCTATGAGATACATCGCGGCTACAGTCACCTTCTTGTCGTCGGTACAAGCCGTTGTGGCTTTGAAGTACTGTTCGACGTCAAAGATGAAGTTCTCCAACTCTTTGGCGTTCCGATTCCCTTTGAAGGCTCTAGGGTCTGGGAACCTTAGTTTGTTGGATCCTGTATTAGTCTGTCCAGCCGCGACACCTTCCACGGCTTTCATGGTAATTTCAATTCGAGTGCTCATGGCGGCCATCCTTTCTTGGAGGTCGTCGACTGTTGATCTGAATTCATCAGCCAATCCATTGAACAAACTCATCATTGTGTTTTGTAGTACGTCGAACTCTTCGCCACATCCCTCTTTGTGTGCGACAGAGCTATCCGGACTATCAGACGGTTTTGGGCTGCTCGTAGGAGCAACTCTTTCTTCGAGCGAGGTCACTCGAAACAATAGTTCTGCGATTGGCAACCCATCCAGGCGGTTGCCCATTGCGTCGACTTGGACGACTTTCTCACTCAGTTCGGTCACCCGTGTTTCCAGGAAACGGAGGGTGTCAGGGACTTCTTTGAGGAACAGCATTTCCTCCTCTATTAGCGTAAGCCGGTCAGCTTGTGCTTTGGGTGTCGACTTTGTCGTCGACATGATCACGGTCTATATGACGTTACGGAGCTAACAAAGCTCTGATACCACTTGACACAATCGCGCTTTCGAAGGCAGCGGACTAGCGATTGTGCGGCACTCACTTTCCAACGACAAGTGAGTTGAGCCTATTTGTTCTTGCGTCGCCTACGGCCAAGCGACGTACGGTCAAGCCTCTAGCCTCGGTTTTAAAAGAAGGTTTTAGAAAACGAGGAGAGAGAGATTTGAGAAAGAGAGATTTTAGAAAGAGACGTTATATAAGCAAGCAAGAGAAAGATAACAACGGCTTAGCATATATAACCTTGGGTAGGGAGAAGTTGACGACTAGTCATATCCCCCTATAGTACATTCTGGGCCATTTTAGTTCTGGCAGGCGTAGACATGATATTTTTGAGGTGTCATACGCTTTAGAATTACAAAGGGAAAAACACTAGAATGAAAAGACAAGACAAGGGTTTGGCTTGTCATGGGCATGCGGCCATGGGCACATGCCCTGGACAAGCATGACCGTGACACCGTGCATGCATGCTCAATCTTTTGCTACCCCACTGACTTGCTTCTACACTAGGCCAAATCATCTGGCTTGACGTTGCCTCTACTTGAGGCCAAGGTCTCTCATATGCAACGTTACATCTCAATTCTCATCTTAGTTCCCGATGACATTGCCTTCATGTCATAATGCCATCCCAAGTCCCGGGATGTCATCGGCCATCATAGCTCACTCGGTCTTATCATAGCTCACTCGGTCTTGCCTATCAAGAACAGGCCCATGTGTCATTCATATTATCAGGACCTCCCGAACGTCCATCCATCCGGACTCTATTGGGGCATTGGACCCTCCCGTGTCCATTCATATCATTTATGGACTCTGTACTAGATAGCGAGTACATATACCAACCTCCAACAAATGCTTGGGGTGCATGTCAGCTCACTTGTGCCGTCCGACACTATCCTTGAAAGACCTATTTCAAAGAAAGTCGTCTGAGACACTCGTCTCGCAATGCTCGCCCTCATTGTGATACACGTATGTGCTACAGGGTAGCTCGCTTAGGCCACAATGCCTAGGGGAGGTGGTGAACTAACACCATGCCTCCCCTTAAGGTACATTTTGAGGCATTTCTAATCTGGCAGATGTAGACATGATTTTGGCGAACGGTCATACGGTATCGTGGAGCATCCGTCCGGTGTCCAATTGACACCATATTTGGTGAGCTTTCATATTTCATATGGACGGAGTTAACTCTAGAGCCACATGCCCAAACTCCTTATGGAACCCCGACTTTCGAGGTTAAGGCCCGGAGTCCTACCCGACCCTTTATCAAGCCTATTTTTGTCCCTCATGTTGACATCGTTGCCTCTGTCTTACTTATGCCTCGGCTTGACTTCAATGCACATCTCTTTGGTGTATTAGATGATGCACCGTCCTCCTCGGTTGCATCATGGCACTCGTCTGTCTTAGCCTTCACGTGGCCGGATGGGCGCCACTTGAGGGTCGTTGATTTGCTTGTCTCGATGCGAGAGTCACAACCTACTATCTTCATAGTATGGTTGTGATATTCTTCCACACTTAACCAGTCGTCGTCCTTGATGACTTTCTTGGGGCATAATCGCTCCATGGATTTAATAGTGACACAAAGCACCGTAGTAAAAATTCTGCCATAACCAACTAAACAAAATTAAAAGAATCAACTTGCACCAACGGCACTTTAAGCAAAATACCCATTAAATTTGAAGATACATGCAAGAGATAACCTTTTAATGACTCTTTAACCACCACAAACACTTCATGCAAAACATCTATTAATATCTCTATGGAGGGTAAATTACTTAATTATTAATCTAAAGGCACTTTATAATTTTATAGGGAGTGTAAAGAACCTATTAATATCTCCATTTGGCTCTTGCACTTTTGCTTTACAAGATTGGACTTTTGTTTGGGTGGTTTTGGTTGAAATACGATTATGGCTTGAAGCATTCAAGATTTATTATCCTTGTTTTCATGGGACATCCATTCAAAGCAGTTGCGAAAGTTTTGTGGCTGTCCTTCAACTGTTTTCTTTTAGTCTTTATGGTGTGAAAGGAATGGAAGGGTCTTTGGTGATACTCAATCATCTTTTGAAGTCTTCATGGATTTAGTTTATTTAATGCTGTTTATTGGGTGTTTGGGGTTTTCCCCTTAATCATTTCATTTATCAATAAAATTTGGCTGTTTCTCTCTCTCTCTCTCTCTCTCTCTCTCTCCATATATACATATGTACTGGTTTACTAGAATATTTGTCAATATTGATATTTTATTGATATATCCATAAATTGAAATCTCGATATCGACTTTGATATTTTCATTCTTGCATCCATTGTGCTCATGCTCTGAAGGTTTACTAATTAGGTGGTTGGGAGACATGCTGGGAGCAAGGGCTGACACCATGGGACCTGGGACAACCAACTCCTGTAATTAGTCATCTCTGTGCAATGGGAGATCTTCCAAATGGTCGTGCCCTTGTGCCTGGATGTGGAAGTGTATGTCATTTCGTATTTTTATAATTTTATTTTATTTATTTATTATTATTATTATTATTTTGTAACAAACGAAAAGTTTTTGTTGAAATAATGAGACTAATGCTTAAAAGACACAAAACTCCGCAGAAGAGTGGAAAAGAACAACTAAGAGGGATTACAAATAAGTGTATAAAAAACAATTCAAGTAATACTAAATCCTCTTCAATAAAGAGCCTAAAATAATTATCCAATCGAAGTATTGAAATAAACGCTAAAAACACTTAGCTCCGAGCAAAAGAGACTGACGGGGAAGGAAGATATATTGCAACGAACATTTATTTATGCACATTTGTTCCAAAAGGAGAAAAGACATCTAATAACTCAAAACCAACTCAAATACACCCAAGAGTACAAAAATCCAAACCACCAAATAAACATCCCTATAATCTCTCAGAAAAAGGGTTTACAAAAATGACCCACCTCCGAACTCCAAAATTAATAAAGAATTGAAATTGAAAACGGTCTTCAAGGCAACAAGAAAAAACACTAGATTACCAAGAAGTAATTCTCGTTGTTGAACAATAAAAACGGATGATGCTAGTGATTGTGAAACTTCAAGTGTATTGCTTTTATCAAAACCAAAGAAGGACTTTTAAATGCTTCTACAAAAGAGTCTTCGACCTAAAATTCATCATTTTGTATGTCAACTAAATGTGCTTCAGATTCCTCACTACTGAGACTAATTTCAAATGCTTCATTAGATTTAATAACATTAACAATTGGAAAGGAGATAGAATCCTTAGTGGGGAGAGAGCTAATACTACCTTTGGTTAAAGTGACATGTGAACATGAAGGAGTGATCAGTGAAAGAGTAAAAAAGTTAGTAGGTCATGAAGGGGGTTGATATAACTTTACAGAGGAAGTGAGGGGCTGAGTATCACGGTCATGCTTGTTCAAGGTGTGTTGTATGTGGTTGCATGCCCATGCCACACCGAACCCTTTATTTAATTTCATGTTGTATTGTCTTACTATTGTATTTTCTATTTTATGACTACTTGCGAAATCATGTCTAGGCATGCTTGACCTGAATCGCCTCACAATGTATTATATGGGGGTGTGACTAGTTGTCAACTCCTCCCCCTGATTTTGTTTGACTGTTTGGCAAAATCACATCTAAGTCTGCCAGACCTAAATCGCCTCAAAATGTACTATAGGGGGATGCGACTTTGCTCTTGGGATGTCCTTATCCAAGGTCACCCCATTGCCTATGAAAGTTGGGAGTTCAACGATGCAGAAATGAGATACACTGTCTCTGAAAATGAAATATTTGCCGTCGTCCATTGCCTTAAAGTCTGGAGACAATATCTTTTGGGATCCCACTTCGTGGTGAAGACGGATAACGGTGTCATTTGCCACTTCTTCGATCAACCCTGGTGGCAAGAATTGTTAGCCAACTCTACAAAAGTAGAAACTTACTCTTAACTTCAAAAAAGTAGCAACTTCAATTGACAACTAAACATATCAGCAAATTCCCTAAAAAGTAGGATCCTCGGCTGATTCAAAACCAAAACAAACTTGTAGCTTGAGCCAATTAACAAGTAGAAACTGAAACGAGGCATTCAAACGTATTAAGCTTTCTTTTCAAGAGATTAACAGAGGAATATATTTTGGAAAGATTTCATTACACGGAAACTTAAAATTATTTACATTCTATAATTCATTCCTTATCTCTGAACCTAGCCTGAGGATAAGGGCGATTTTTCCCTTTGTGCATAGCAATTAGCTAGAATCTTACTATTTCTTTTATAGAAAACATCAAAGTTTTTAATATGACAGGGCTATGATGTTGTACAAATGGCAAGCTCTGAACGCTATGTTATTGGATTGGACATATCAAACAATGCCATACAAAAGGCAAGAGAGGTAATAATATTATATTTCTGCATTTAGCTTCTTTCCAGAGCCAACATAATGAAAAAACAAAGGGAAATTTAGGACTTTTGGGAACTTTTGTACGAGAACTATATTGTGAATGTAGTTTTGGAACCTTAGCTGATATTTCTTCTCATCTGTTCTATTAATTATTCGAGGTTTATTTTATTCTAACTTTTATTATACTTAAATGTTAGTTATAGTATATTTGTTTAGTTAGCATTTCCCTGGTAGCTTCTGCTACCTTATTTGTCTTCAATCTTTTCCCCAAGTCACCTGTATTCATAATTGCATCTCTGAATTGAAGAACTTAGGTTTAGTGGGAATTTTTCGTTCATGATTATTCTCCAATTGTTATATTGGATTTTTGCGGATTTCGCTATACTAAATTGGTTACCTTTTCTCTAATATTCCAATATTGATATCAGATCCAAGTTGAAGGGGCATTTAGTTTTGTTTATGATTTATTCTTTAAAATTAAACTTCGAATGTTTAGAATTATTTAATGAAATCCTTTTCATATCCTTCGTAATGCTATGAAACTTTGCTTGTATTTTAGGTATAATACGAATGAAGTCTCTGCAAAATTTCGTGCAAATTGGTCAAGTATATTGAGTTATTTTCCTGAAACGTGAACCATTGTGCTACAATTTTTTTTACTTGCAAATTACTTTTCATTAACTTGCCTCTTGCATATGAAGCTTACGTGTAAAGCATGTTTGAAAACTTTTTCAACAATATATCATATGCTTAATTTGGTTTGGAATGGAAAAGGTTATGGCGGGTTGAAATTGTGGCATAAGCTATTGAAATTGTGGCATAAGCTATTGAAATTGAGTAATTTTCATCTCCCACCCGCACATTATGGACTTTCATTATGGCGTATAAAACACAACTTCTCATCTTTATTGGGGTTTATCATATTTCTCAAAACAAGGAGTACATTCCCGTTTAATTGTATCAGATTTCATGTAAGAAAATAGGCCGCCATCCGTCATACTTTAATCTCGTGAGCTTATCACTTTACAATGGTTAAGTACTTAGGCTACCTTAAAATTGAGTTTAGGGTTGGCATGAGTGTCCAAGAGTCATTTAGTCACATTTATCTTAATTCAACTCCAAGCATGCTTTGTATTCCTACCACATATCCGTTCAGGAGGCTTTTCAAGTATGCTATGTATGCGGGATATATAACAATTTTCAAAAGTTCAATCGAATGGGTATATATAATCAAGATGTGGTGATAGTTTTTCACTTTACTTAGATCTTTGGGTAATTCATTTCGTCCATGTGAAAAATGATGTTATAAGAATACTGAGAGTGTGCATCAAATATTTCCTTTCATGAATGGATATCAAATAATGGAGATTACACACTTGCATTCTGCTTATATTATCTGAAATGAGGTGTTCCCTCCTGACTCGCTGTTACACTTGAAAGTAATCTCATTTCTACTTTTTCTTTTTTTCTTTTTTCTTTTTCCCTTACAAACTGCAGCTATCTTCCTCATCGCCAAAGATTAGATACTTTAGCTTCTTAAAGGAAGATTTTTTCAGTTGGAGACCTAAGGAATTGTTTGATCTCATTTTTGATTATACGTAAGTTAGAGTTAGTGACAAACTTATTTTCTCTTGGAAGAATCCTACATGATGATTATTGGAAGCCGTGCAGGTTTTTTTCTGCTATTGAACCTGCCATGAGAGTAGCTTGGGGACAACAGATGCAGATGCTATTAAAACCAAATGGAGAGCTTATAACACTAATGTTTCCTGTAATCCTCTTTACTTAAACACAAATATTCTCTTACATTGTTTCCTTTTAAGTTTTATGGATTATTTTTACAAGCCTAGAATGCAAATTTTCACCCAAATTTTCACCTCATATTTCACTGGAAGTTTCCCTTCTTAAGTTGAATTTTCTTTTCTATGACATTTTGCAACTTTAGGGCACTTTTGTCTTCTCTTTCTTTCTGTATAATTATTTTTCATGGACTGCCTTGTCATTTCTGTTACAATAATTTTCTTTTAACAAAATTGTACAAATGTTACGACACGTTTTCTCGTCATTAAGTAAACAGTCGTTTGTTTGATTTTATTTTGTATATCTTTTCATGATTCTTTCCTTTATTTCATGCTTTAAATACAATTTTTTGGCTGGCAGATTGATAACCATATTGGTGGACCACCTTACAAAGTTTCAGTTTCAGAGTAATCCTCAACCTTCACTTGGAATTTCTTTTCCTACTTGTTTAATTGTTCCTTTCAGTTCAAATATTTATCTAGATGTTTTCCTTTTTTTCCATTTAGAATCTCACTCCTTTGTCTTTGAAAAAGAATTCATGGTTATAAATACTAGAGATCAGACTCCTTATCTTTCCTTGTTTTGTACCTATTTTTAACCATTATTAAAATGAAGATGAGTTAGTTGTAGGTGGCCGATGGAAGCATCCTTATCCATGGGGATGATACTGAAGATGAGAAATATTTTTTGTGAAAGAAGGGTCTTAAGTGGGTTTGCGGTGCGAGATCAATTGGTGGAAACGATTGTTTTTTCCTATCCTGCTTTCTGCTTCTTTTAGAGCCCGATGGGGGACAAGTTTAAAGCCAAGTTTGACAAATAGAGGAACCTCCTTTTCTCATAAGCGGTACATTGGCTTTGGGTCAGTCTATCCCAACAGTACGCTCGTTTACCGTTTCTCCCTTCTTAGGGCACCAATTAAAGTTGTTTACTCAATGGAGATACTTGAGAGATTTCATTGGGAACGGAGGGGTTTATTGTCTCGTTAGCCATTTGGTAAATTGGAGTTGTACCCCTCTCTCCATTCAGTAGGAGTGGAGTCTTGGGGTTGGTTCTAATTCAAACAGAGAAATAATTCCTTATGGTCTGGAGCTACTTGGTGGTGTGACCAAAGCCATCGAAGGCAGGATGGGGGAAGGTCGTGGTCGAACATTGCCAAGATATCAACATTTTCTTCAAAAAATTGAATTTTAATGTTATGAATGGTCAAAGGATACACTGCTAGGAGGACATTTCAACCCTTTCATTACGGATGTTTTATGAAATTTATAAGCTTTCCTCAAGAAAGGGTGCCTCCATTTCAAATTGCTGGGGTGAAGAACATCAAGATTGGGATTTAGAGGGGAATTGAGGCTTGTTGAAATAAACAAAATACTTTACTGAAATAGAATTCAATACTAAACCAAAGATAGACGAGTATGGTCGTCAATAATGGTAACAAACCAAAGACTAAATAGTTTTCAAATGGAACCTTAGTTGTCGAGAAATCAAATGTCGTTTAGGGATTTGTTAGGAACTTCTTGATTAAGTTTTGTTGCATCTTCTTGGCATGTCCTAAATATCTACTCTTGGTCGTTCAATGCACAACTTGAAGTGTGTTCTTGTAATCTTCATTGTCTTTCTGTTCAGGAGTGTATCTTATCTTCCCTTTTTCATTTATAAATGGTTCCTCTGAAATGATATTATCTCAAGTTTCCCTGAAAAAAAGTAATATATGTTCCTTACCCTTGTATGTCTGTGTGGCTCTTCCATAAACCTGGCTCATAATTACATGTCTATTGAATATTGATAGTTACGAGGACGTACTACTTCCATTGGGCTTCAAGGCTGTACTTATCAAGGACAATGAACATGCCATCCCACCTCGCAAGGTAAAAAAAAAAAAAGGTTTTATTTGGCATCTCAACTTTAAAAATTGTCTAATTAATATACAAATATTACATCTAGGAAGGAAGTCAGGTGCACAATGAGCTCTATTTGAGATTATTTGAGTGTTGTGGCTAAACTTGGGAATATGCAACATTATCCATGTTCTGCAATTGCTGAATGTTGAGTATGATTAACGGAAATTTCATGACAGGGACGAGAGATGATCGGAAGGTGGAAGAGGAGTTTGGCCCACGCTTCACTCTAAATTGAAAGACAATTACAAAATTTTATGTTAAACTGTGGTAAGTGGCTAAATATGCCAAGCGGCCCCTGGTCTTTAAGTTTGTTTTCAAGTAGTCTTTAAGGACCCTTAAAGATACAAATCTAGTGACTATACGTATAATTTAGTGTAATAAAGTAATAAAGTATAAAAGTATTTTTATGCCATTAATTTCTCTACGTAGAAGATCTTTAGTAAATGGATAAGATTGTATATCTTATATTCGCAAGAGTATATAGAAATAATTTCATTTGGTAATTGTTATAAATGATTTGTTATATCATGTGTTTATATAGGTTGAAGCTTTATAAGTTTATTATTTGAGAAAGATTAGTATTTTACAAAATGATCATATACAACTTCGATCTTAATGTAGTAAATTATGAACGCCTAATTCGATGGTCTGTTTCTTTGTTTAATTTTTATTTTTATGTTTATTAATAAAAATGAATTATATTTTGAAATTTTAATTGATAATACTTTATGAATAAAAAATCACTCAATTTTGTACCCAAAAAAAAGAAACACCTAGAAATGATTTTTTTTTTTTATTAGAGAAAATATCATGTAATCAGAAAGAACAGGGAAACATTCAAATTATTAAACAGAATGGGTTGTATTAGAAAGAAAAACAAAACAAAAGGGTAGGATATTTTCTCCCATTATACAAGTGATAGATTTCTTATCTATCTTTAATCCAATAACATTACATAAATATAGCCCTCAAGGATACCATGTTGGCTAAGACATGCAAAGCTCTTTGTAACGTCTACTCAGTGGTCGTGTGATCAAATCTTTGGGTGAAACTAATAGGGAAAAACCCTTATGCCTCCAGAAGCAAGGCCTTAAAGCAAGCCGAGTTTTCAAAAAATAACATTGAAAAAGATGGTATGGTTTTACCATCAAACACAACTACAAAAGAGCCGAAAGCACTCTTTTCAAGTACTTTGTCACAAAGCACGAAACATCGAAATAAAACATTAGTACTAATCCAAGTAATCTTACCAGAGATGAATGGAAGTGATAGAGTCAAGAGATGTTTGCGTGTTTTAGGGAGGTGGTTGTGACGAGGCCGGCTGAGGTCCGCATCGGATGGGGACCCAACACAGCAGTGCGAGAAGCATCTGTCTTCAGATGAGGCTGCACCATTTCCCATATTTTCTTCTTCTGAATCTGTGGAATTAATTTCGCAACAATAATCTCCATGCTCGACATTACATCCATCCATATATAATGAAACACAGCAGCACAAATTATACAGCTTATTGTTGATTCGTCACAAGAGGTGTTTATAATTGTAACATAAATATATGTGCATACTATACATCAGCTACAAGAATAAACTATAAAACAACCAGGGGGTGAGGAAATGGATTGGAACTCCGTGGTGGCTGCATGTAGAGAAGATTTCACTAAGAACAATAAAATCTTGTGAGCTTCTTGACAACTAAATTTAATAAGCCCAGGTGATTATCTTGTCAGAGTACTAGTATGGTATGCAGTGGCCTCTGTGGGAAAGATCGGTATGTTAATAATAAGGGAATACCGGTAATTAGTTAAAGGCGTCTTGGTTATAAAACTAGGAGTGTTAAGGAGCTTAGAGGATTCCACCCTCAAGATTCTAAATAAATAGGATAACTCAGACAAGAGAATGTCGTTAAGGTGCAAGTTCTCCTCCAAACCGAATTACAAGGTAGATCACGAACTTATATTATGACAATATGTGATCTCATCACGAGTGAGGGAAACAATGAATTAGTGCATTATAGAATCAGATTGGGGAGATGGAAAGAACTTGTTCCTCTTGTTCTCTTTTGCAGCAACAAGCTAGAATAAGCTCCTCAAAGTCTTCAATCTGTCGTATGTCTTTCGTGAATACTGCCTCAGATGGTTAGCTTTAGCTTATGCAAGGAAATTTTGGTGGACAAGCTAAAGTCTTATGGTTCAATGTGGTGGCTAGTCTTACTTTTGAATTTACAGAATGAAAGGAAATCGCGAACCTTTCAAGGGAAAGATTTCTGCGACTGGGATTGAGTAAAGTTTCACTCTTCCAATTGGAGCTCCCGTTATGATGATTTTGTAGTTACATTTGTTCTATGCCAATTGGGAATCTTTTTCAAAATCCCCTCGACTGTTCGAAGATATCTGATCTTATTTTTTTGTACATTCCAATATGATTAGTATACACGCCTCATTCCTTATCCAAAAAAGAATCATATTACAAGACTTGCGGGATGGATCTCAACAGCATCACCATGATATGGTTTTAAGGCCAATACTATCTAGGATGAGAGATTTGGAATCCTATTCAACACGTTGCCTCACTTTTGGCTTCCACCTTCCTTGCCAATAGAGATAATTCTTTTATTACTGTGAACAATAGGGGACACTCGTAATTGTTATTTTTATTTGGAAATGGTATATTTTTATTACTCATATATGAGTTTGTTGATAAATTCTGGGGGCAGCTTTCAAGCCTTTTGGTGTCCTCAGTGAATTTCTACACTTTCATCTATTCTCATGAAAGTTCTCTTTCGTAGTTCAAAACAAAATGTTTAGTGTAGTAGGTAGAACTCTCTGATATAACAACAGGGTCATAAAAAGTCGGAAGACATCAAACATGAATACAGAGAAGATGTAAAGCACAGCTACGATAAACACACTAGTTATCAACCACGTGAAATTTTTTGCTTCCTCTTAAAATAAAAGAAAAAGGAAATCTACCACGTGTAGAGATGGAAAGCCTCCATGTAGTGGTTTTCAAGTCCAGAGTTAAAATAATTTAGGTAATTAATGGTCGTAGATTTCTCAGTGAGGTTATGCTAGACTATGCACTGAAATATGTACACTATAAAATAGCATTTCAGTCTTGCAGGATTCAATTAAAAATAATAATAATAATAATCTATACCTGGTTGGCCGTAGCAGCATCAGGTTGTTTTTCTTTGTCATCTTGAGATCCAAACCATATTCTTTCACCTGGAATAGAGTCTTCAGGGGGCAAAAGAAGCTCAACGTTCTCGTGCAATGAATCAGAAGCAGCCATTAGCATTCCAAATGACTTGATGCCCCGCATATTTCTTGGCTTCAAATTTGCGAGGACAACAACTCTTCTATCCTTTTTGTTGGTTATTTTTGCATCAAACGCGGGAAAAGGATATCAATAACCATATATAAAATAAAAATTTGATACAAATTTAACAATATTATCTATGACAGGCCCATTTAATCTATAATCCATCCAATCTTACGAGTTTTCAAGACCAATTAGAAAAAAAACCATAAATATGGCAGAGGGGGAATTCATTTACACGCTTTATGAGCATTGAAATTCTACTCTAGAAACTGATATCTAATGTTTACTATATGAAGGAGTTCCTAAACTTTCCATTTCTAATTGTCCAAAGAGGAAGATTGTTTCCTCTTCAATGTTGAAAAATAAAACAGCTTACAAGAGAGACAAGAGAGGAGGAAAAAGAAAAGACTCCAATGAACTACATGCCAAGGAAATCAATTTATAAGTCACGAAACAAAATGAATATACACTGCATAGGCATCTCTACACCGAGTATCAGGTTTTGTTGTTGACAAGAATAACATTAAAAATTAGAAATGAGGAGAGTTTCTCTTTTAGCCAAGTACCCAGGATTTTCCTTTTTTTCTTTTCTCAATCAGAAATTGTATCTATTCATCATTAGTTCACTGAAACGGCCATCAGAAGACTTAGAAAAGGGCAAAGTTGAAGTACCAGAAGTTGATCGAGAGGGATATATTTAACAAGGCCACTGCAAATAAGCCTCGGCTCGGGTTCACCAACATCAACCTCTTCTACATAAAGAGAATCAGCCTCATGATGTCTCCAAGCCTTAATGATTCGCCCAACCCTAATATCGAGCATGTCGGCCGCATCCTTGATCTTCTTTTCCGGATCATCGTTGTCATTACCATCGTCCTTATCCGACGATGATGAAGACGATGCAATGGGGGCGTCGCTAGTGGCAGGTTCAGTCGATGAGGCAGTGCAAAATGAGAATGGAAACCGCGCACCATTTCTCGAGATTCTTCCTCTGGTTTCTTGAATGGAGGCGACCTTATCCTTATGAAGTGGTGGGGTAAAACAGGGGAAAGTTGGGCGTAGAGCAAAGAAAGGGCGAGAATGGCCGAATTTATGGGAAAGTGAAGAAGAGAAGGAAGAGGAGAAGAAGAGCAAACGGCGATTGGTGGCAGTTTTTGTAACATTTGCGATTGCAGCTGCCGTTGGGAGAGACGCCATGGTCATAGCCTGTGGTTCACAGTTGTGGGCGTTTGAGATGGTCGGTTCCAGAAATTTGGTTACTACTTTATTTATTTATTTTGTGTACATCTGATACTAACTTATAAAAATATTCTACTTTTTAAAAATATTAAGAAAATATAATTATTTTTAATATTTTGTGAAATTCTAAAAGTGTAAAAAGAAAACCATTTATTATTTTCAAATGTGGGTGTTATTTTAGATTTACTTTTAATTTTATGTTAAGATTTTTAAAAATTATCCAATCAAATAAATATAAAATTAAATTTTAAATTCTAATAAGACTCGGAACTTTCAATAATAAAATAAAAAAAAACTATGAAAATAGGTGCATTCAATCACTCAAGTGTTGCTATTCATTTGCATGTGTATTAGCAGCACTACCCTGTGCATATGAATTGGATCCTTCTCCTTTTCAACCTTGATTTGAAGTAAGCTTAGAAGTCTATGTAATTGCCCATATATTGTGTATCATAAATAATTTACGCATGCAATCATTTTGATACATCAACTCCATTGCCTACACAGTGTGTGTGCTTCATGCATAAAATCAATTTCAATTCTACCAAATAATTATTCCAATTAAAAGTTCATTAATTTGTGTTTAAACAGGGCACTGAATGGGTGTATCTTATAAATACTATTTTAGAACCAAGTACCTCTTTTCTAGTACCAAGCTAAAGAAGAATAATACACAAACAAAAATCCCACATACAGCACCCACGAGGAAGGGTTGGTTTTTTTATATAATAATAACAAAAACTGGAGCAACTCCTTCTACTAATACCAAAATCTGACCAATAAAGCTTCTAACCATAAATAAACTTGAACTGAGCTGAGAAGAATCATTTTTTTCAAGCAACTACGTTGGCTACCACCATTTTATGAGGCTGCTCAAACACAAACACAAACACACGAGTAGAAAAAGAAAAAAGATTTAAGTATTCATATTATTTTAATTGAAAACTAATTAAACCTTCAAAAAATTGCAGCTTACCGCAGCTAATTCCTGCTCGTGTTTAGGAATAAACGCAGTATCCACCTTCCCATTTTTGAAATCCTGCAACACAATGCAACGCAATGGCAGTAATCCTAGTTAGCAGAGGTTTTTTTTCTTTTTTTTCTTTTTTTCTTTCTTCTAATCCAAATCGTATGGATTAGGTTGGTTGTTCAAACTTTTCAGGTAGTCAACTTTTCTTAAAACTCCTAGTTAAAGTCAACTTTTCTTAAAACTCCTAGTGAAACCTAACAAAATTTCCAATAAATTTACAAATGCAGAATCCAAGTTCTTCTTTACCTCTACATCAAGAATCAGCTTGTGGTAGTCAATGGTTGTAGGAACACCTGTACAATAAATAACACCAATAGATTCAGCACCACTAATTAATGTCCATCAAAAACCTATTCCTCTTAGTACACACCAAAAATAAATAATAAAATTAATAACAAACTTGGTTCCATTACCGGTAATAATAGTATCATCAAGAGCCCTTTTCATGCGCTCAATTGCCTTCTCTCTTGTTGGAGCCCAAACAATAAGCTATAATAATAACCACCAACACATTAGTAAACTACTTAGCTGACTATTCAAATATACATGACAAATTTTCAAATCTTCTATGAACATGGTTTGAAAAATCAAGCCTGCCTAACCTCTGGGTAAATAAGATTATATTTCAAACGGAAAACCTATAACCCAACCAAACCCAACCCAAACCATTCGTGTGATTTTAAAACATCTATTCGGTTTTAGTAAAGATCTGTATCTATGATATAGAAGGCGAAGCCTAACTAAGCCGGACAATACATCATAAAATAAATGCCCTCTTCTTCTATGCACAAACACTGATCCCCTAGAAGCATGCGTATATAAGGAGCCATCCGTGTCGTCCAAGTCTAAAGCTACAAATAACATAAGCTCAAATCGAGAGCAAATATCAGGCAAAAAAAAGTTTGGAAATTAAAAGGAATAATCAGACAAACCTTTCCGAGAAGAGAATCATAGCTTGGAGGCACTACATAATCAGTATAAACATGGCTATCCATCCTAACAAATGGACCTCCTGACGGCAAGTATGCTGTAATTCTCCCTGTCAATTGAGAGGAAAATCATGCCTATAATTACCTTCGAACCTCATTGCTTCATCAAATTTTCATTTTCAAAGTTAAAATCAGAAAGTCAGCTGACAGAGTGTTTATCAATTAACTGCCAATCTAGAATATATTTTCAAAAGACACGATCGAGAATATGGTGCAATCAAGCAACACATGCACTAAGCACCAGAAGAGCTTGGATAACCTGTAGTACATCATTGTAGCATCATACCTGGTCCAGGTCGAAACCCTTTAAAGGCATCTTCTGCATTGATGCGGCATTCAATTGAGTGTCCGCGAAGCACAATATCTTCCTGTAGATAACCATAGACCAAAGGTTGACAAGCCATTCTCAAACAAACCTTCACTTACAAAATATCTTTTTGCCTACCTGTTTGTATCTAAGTTTTTCTCCCATAGCTACGCGAATTTGTTCCTCAATCAAGTCAACTGAGGATATCATTTCTGTCACAGGATGCTCCACCTGTTGTAATCAAATAACCCATAAAAAAAGAAAAGAAAAAAAAAAGGCATATCATCTCATTGTACTAACAGATATATTGGTCTATAGAATAAGATTTCAATTTAACCTGGATTCGAGTGTTCATTTCCATGAAGTAGAAGGAGCCTCTTTCATCCAACAGGAACTCGATCGTCCCAACCCCAATGTAACCTATAGAGGCAGCAGCTGCAACTGCTGCATCACCCATAGCTTTCCTCAACTCCGGGGTCAAGGCAGGAGATGGTGCCTCCTCTAGAAGCTTCTGGTTCCGTCTCTACAATAGTGAAATAATTTATATATAAACTTTCTGCAGAGTACAATCAAGTAATAATTTTCTTATTTCAAACTTGGTCATATTTGTAAACTCAGGATCTTCATGCAAGTCAGAGATACATTCACGTATAACATACATTCAGTTAGAGCATTAGTACATGGAATTTGGAAGCTATATGGATTAATAGGATCCTTGAAGAACTGGAAATATCTCAAGAGATACCTATACAGGTTTATTGTGATAACAAGGCTCAGTCATAATCCAGTTCTACATGATACAAGCAATTCATAAAGGAGAAGATTGATGCAGGTATAATATGCATATCCTATCTTCTGACGATAGAACAAAGGACTAATACGTTAAGTAAAGGCCCTTCAAAAGGACAATTTGAAAAACTTCTCAACAACCTGAATATGGAAGACACCTACAAACTAGCTTGAGGGAGGGTTGAATTTTCTTTATATTTTGTAATATTAGATATGTATTGTTTGTATATTTGTCATATATATCTAAAAGAAATTTTCTTTACTGGTGGTGGGTCTTTCCTCCATATAAGAACTTACATTTGGTTTATAATATAGAAGAAATACATCAATATTCTCTTCCCAAATTCAAGTGAAAGAAATCAAAGACCTTTCCGTAACTGCTCTAGAAAGGAAGAAGTTCGGCATTATCACTCTCTTTAAATTCGAAGTTTCCTCAAGTTCCATTAAGAAACCTTTTTCATAAACATAATTTAAATTTTCTTCTTATTTCCCAGTTACAGGAATTTTTGGTGTGCTTACTCCAAATACATTCTTGTTCTTATCAATGAATGAATGAACTGTTTGGATTTAGATAAGTGCACACAAATCTTGAAACAAGCTCAACGATCTTAAAAAGAAAAGAAAAATATGAAATAATAAGGCTAAGCAAACCTGAATGCTGCAATCACGCTCTCCAAAATGAACAACATTGCCATACTTATCTGCAAGAACCTATATATGCAGAAGGTGGACAAATGATAAGTCAAGCAGCTATATACAGTTTTACGTTTAGAAAGAAAAAGAGGAAGAAAGACATATACACAGCATATAGCTCCAGATTACTGATTGAAAAGGATCTGAGTCCGGCCTCAAAGCAACATTGCCAACCAAAACATGCCGTACTATATAAAACTACCCACTTGTAATGATAGAAATAAAATAAAATGAAATAAAAATGAACCCTGAACTCTTGATCTTTTTGCAAAATCCTAGGCAAGTGACTACCACTTGAGCTCATTCCCTCTAGAAGCCATTGTTATTTATTATTCCAGTAAATTGAAACTTCGACTATTTACGTTTATTTATTATTCCTTTATTTTTATTTTATTCTAATGAAACTCTATCTTGAGATTGAGAAAAAATGAAAGAATATACCACAACAAAACAAAACTAGGAAGAAAAGTTCATGAGAAAAGGAGCAAAAATAGAAACCTAACAGACTACAAAAGTTACAAGAAAGGGTCTAGTCAATTAAAATATCAATATCCATTCCAGTCAATAAGATTCCATTGGGTTCAATATTCAATGAACAAGTTTCCATTCTATTTATTTCCTTCAATATTGTTGATTTCTTTTGTTTGATCATCCTTAACTGCTAACTATTTCTGTGAAATGTGAATATAAATTACTTTCTTCTCTACTAAAATGTAGTGTCATTGAATAATTACCTGAAACTCAATATGCCTTGGATTTTGGACATACTTTTCAAGATAAACGCCATCGTTCCCAAAAGCAGCTGCAGCCTCACTTTTGGCTTGCTGCAATAAAGTAGTACTACCAAATATAATTAGAAGCTCCACCTACTCTGTATTGTACATGTGGGTTCAGGTGTACCACTCTGATAGGGAGACATAGTGAAATATCCAGTTCAAAAAGTAAAACTTATGAACGAAGCTTAGGAATATATTACTCTTTACCACATAATATAGATTTCCAATAATGATGAATGAACAAAATATTGGAGGAATTTTATATAAAGGTTCTACGGGAAAATGCTATCATAGAAATTGTCTGGGGCATTTTGACAGAGAAATTATAAAATCTGAATGGATATTAAGAGATAGAAAGAAAACTTCGTAAGTGCTTCAGTTCAAAGTCTCCCTTTGAAGTTCTCTTTCAAAGTAATTTTACATCGATAATTTTTTTTGGGAAATTTTTTGTCATACCCTTGCCTTTTGCAGGATGATCTCTAATAACTGGTAACTTTGTTCATATATAATGAAAGACTGCTCCTTTCTTAAAAGTATATAGATATCGAAGAACAAAAAAAAATTTCCTAGTGAAAAATATAAATATTTAAACTACAAAAAGAAGGTATTCTTTCAGTAAACAAATTGCATTAGCAAGTACCTGCAACAACTTCACAAATTCATCAGGTTCTTTAGCAAGTCTCATACCACGTCCTCCACCACCTGCCGTTGCCTTCAAAGTAAACAATGTTGTCAGTTGAAAAAATTGATCACAGATGAGAAATTCAATTCAAATGCAACATTGTACGGAAGAACTATATGCTGTATAATTTAAGCAAGATTAAGTCAGACGCCGACCTTTTTGGAAAACTATTATACTTCATATACAGAAAGCAGTATACCTAGAGCATAGATTGCAGAGGGCACGTTGTAGGTTGAAGAATTTAGAGATTGTTGACTAAAACATAAAGCAATATTCAAAAACCAGTGTCCCTAATTATGGTTCGAGAGAAACCAGAGGATTTTTTGTGATGAACATAATTCATGATTTCTGAATTATGGTTTTGAGAGAATTCAGAGAATATAGTCCATGTGTCGATCGATACGAGTAGCCCATCTCAAAGCCTCCCATTGGTGTTCTCTTTCCATTTCATTTTCTGGATTTTCTTTGCAGAACATTTGTTTAAGTTGGAATTCTCTGTTTTCTCCTTTGTAATTTTTCTTACCTTTTTTACTCCTGAAGTTTGTATTTTTTTAGCACTAGTCTCTTATTAGCCTCTATTCATTTTTTTAATTAAATTTTTTTTTCTCATGTTAAAAAAAAAAATCAATGCCACTACTTGAGAAATGAAACCATGTTACTTTTTTTTTTCTTTTGTAAGAAACTAAGCTTATATGGAAAACAAACGAAAGAGTACACAGGCATATAAAAAAAAAAAAACAAGTCACAAAAGAAGGAAGTATGACCCTACTTACAAGAAAGACTCCAATCCAAAAGAACAAGACCAGGGCCAAGTGACTGATACCCACAAACAAAAATTATAAATCTAACCACCTCTCAAACATCCTCATCTAATCCTTCGGCCTCTCTAGAAAATCTTATTGTTCCTCTCAAGCCAAATACCCCATAAAACAAAAAAGAAACTAGCATGCCACAACCGAGCTTACAAAAGAACTTCAATTACAAACAACCCTCTATGAACCCCAACACAAACACCAATGGAACCAAAATCATGAGCCATGCAAATTTGAACCACTTTTTTTATATTTCTTCACCCATGTGCTCAATGATTTGCATATCTGTTTGCTAAATGGCCCAAACCTATTGCACCCAATAAAAGACTTGAACCAAAACCAGGTGCAAAGTACTCATTATCAGAAAAAACACACCATGCTGACACAACAAACCTTTGAACATCTCCAGTTCTCTTATATTTCTCAAATGGAACCGAAAACCTTACAAGAAAAGCAGTCTATTTAGCTAGAACTTGGATATTTAAACCTCATTTCTGTCGTTCTTTAAACAAACCTATACAATTTTATCACAATACCTTGATCATTACGGGATAGCCAATTTCCTGTGCGAGTTTGATCGCTTCTTCAGTGCTCTGGAATATGAGATATCCACGACAAATTAAACGTATGACTTATGAAACAACATATACTCTGCTAACTCTTGCAAATAATATGATGCCCACTGACCAACGGCATACCTTTAAAAGACCGTCACTTCCTGGAACAGTTGGTACACCTGCTTTTTTCATTGTCTCTCGGGCAGTTGCTTTGTCACCCATAACTCGAATGCTGTCAGGCTGCACAATGCATCAAGAATTTCACAGTTTTCCCCACAAAATGTATAGAAGATAATGGCAGCTTATAATGGAGCTTCCACGTGAGCTACATTAACTAGGAAATCTTGAGTACTTACATTAGGTCCAATAAAATTGATTCTATGTTCTCTGCACATTTCAACAAATACTGCATTCTCAGCAAGGAAGCCATAACCAGGATGCAGCATTGTACATCCCCGACTGATGGCGGCAGAGAGGACATTTGGGATAACCAAGTACCTGGTGAAGCAAATTTGTTATTATCATACATAGAATATGTCCAAAAGATGAACAAATCATGAGAAGATAAACAACAAATTTTTTGGGCAAGAAACAATATTTATAAGGACATAAAATGTCCAAAATTTGATGAGATGAATATGAGATGTCTTTCTTTCTTTCTTTCTTTTTTTAATAAGAGACAATTTCGTTGATGTTTGAAATTTACAAAAGCAATGTATTATCCATGAAGTTTACAAAAAAAGGTCTTCCCAATTTAGAATGAGGGAGGTATGACTACAGGAACCAAAAGTATGCAATTTACCCCAAGATATAGCCATGGTAAACAAGTTTGTGTATTTTCCATGAATATTCTTTAATTTCTTTCTTTCCAGATTCCAAAAGAAAGCTATGATGAGATTTTCCAAGGCAGAGCTTTAGTATTCTTGAAAGGGTGGTATGTTAAGGCTATATCCAATAAATTATTTACCTCTCTAGGAAAAGTGAGATGCCACCGGAAGATATTGAGAATCCTTGCACAAAAATTCTAAGCATATGTGCATTGCATAAATAAATGGCTACATGATTCGTTGTCTTTCTAGCATATTGGGCACCAACTTGGAAACAGAGTCATGTATGACATTCTTTTTTTTTCTTTTTTTTTTTTTTTTTTTTTTTTTTTTTTTTTTT